AATCGAGTACAAGGGTTTAGATGTTATTTTAGAGTTTAATTAATTTTTATTTTGCAAAATATACTTTTGAAAATAATAATTATTTACTAATTTCCTTTTGTATTATACAAAACAAATTTAAAAATCTTAACCAAATTATATATATTTTTTATGATCTGAACACAAGTTAAATGAAAATAATGATTTAGATATCATTATGTTCCCTATATTAGCTGTAAGTTTGTATCATGCTCCATCATTTGTAATGTAATATCATTGATAAAGAGAAAGAAACCATGTTTTCTAAAAGTTGTTTTCTTTTAACTTTTTTTCTTGGTAATTTCATAAAAGATATATATTTTCTCTTTAAAAGTCTTTTATTTTTATCATAATTCTAAAATTTCATAAAATATATTTTTTTAACAAGATATTTCTGAAAATTTAAACTCACGATTCTTTAATCAAAATAGATGGGTTAATCAACTTAACTACATCTAATATTTAGTTAGAAAAAACTATATGATCGTTAAATTATGAGTTTAGTGCAATTATTTGAGTTAAATTTAATTGAGCCATCCTCATATATTAAGTACCTGAGGTATATTTGATTTATGTGGCATATGAGGATCAAATTTCTAATTTAATTCAAAACCAAAAATAAAAATAAATAAAAACAAATAATTTTAAAAAAATTGGAAAATTTTTGTTTTGGACTGGCAGAGATCGCTGAGGGTGCTGTCAACGTTCGTGATCCCATGCTTCGCGGCGGAGAGCGCGTACAAAATATGGTGGTACGCGTCGGGCGCGTCGCAGATCCCATTCCTGGGGAATGTTATAGTGAGCGACGTAGTAGCGTGCGCGATGGAGCTGCTGTCGTGGCTGTACAGGACGACGGTGATCTTCCTGGTATGCATTCTGTTCCGTCTGATCTGCGACCTGCAGATCCTACGGCTGCAGGACTTCGCGAGCGTGTTCCAGGTGGACTCGGACGTGGGGTCGGTGCTGTCGGAGCACCTGAGGATCCGGCGGCATCTCCGGATCATCAGCCACAGGTACCGCGCCTTCATACTACTAACCCTGGTCCTCGTCACAGGCAGCCAATTCGCCTCCCTCCTCATCACCACCAAGTCCTCTTCCAACCTCAACATTTACATCGCCGGCGAACTTGCGGTAATATTACCCCGTCGATTACTTTGTTTATTATACGTATATCATTCACAAATTTTTTTATAATCATTCGAGGTTTTTTATTGATATATCTCATATATCAATGATATACTTTATTTTAGGTGTACCAATGATATAACTAATACGCTTAATATCAAGAATATCAGTCACACTAAATATATATAAATAATATATTTTACATTATCGATAAATATTTTTGAGTTGAATATTTTGGTTTAAATAAAATTGTAGTTTTTTTTTATTGACATAACAAGAATATCAGTGTCGTACATCATTTTATGTATATCACTAATATAACTACTATTAATTGATCTCTGCCTAATATCAAGAGTATCACTAATATACTTAATATTAGGTAGATCGAGAGTTTTTATCATTTTCATAAAACCGCCTATTTTAAGGGTGTTACTTTTTAATTTTTTCGGTTTGGGTTGAGCTTCCAATTTTTTCTATATTTGCAAATAAAAAAATAGTCGTTATATTTGCAATTAGTTGTTGAATTTTTGCTATGTTTGCAATGCAAACATAAATGTTAAATTTGTGTTTAATAGATTCTTAAACTTTTAATTTTGTGTTTAATATATCTCTAAACTTTTAAAAATATTAATAATCCCATGGACTTTCAATTTGTACATGATAGATCTCCAAACTATTCGATATTTAAAAAAAATTAACTAATTTTAAACCTGAAATTCCAGAGACCAAAATAAAGCTTTTGAAACTGAAACCAAAATAGAATATTTTTTAAAGTGTATAAAGATAGTAATGGGTTCTAAACCTTATATGGTTTGAATTATATTTATTACTATTATTATTATTTGAGGTCTAACAATATGTTAGGATTTATAAAAATTAAACTAAAACAACTTTTTTAAAACCCAAAATTTAAGATATAAAAGGTAAAAAGAAAAAAAATAGTTATTATTATTTTGTTGTTTATTTGGGTGCAGTTGTGTTCGATGACGCTTCTTACAAGTCTGATGATACTGCTACGAAGTGCTACAAAAATTACCCACAAAGCGCAATCAGTGACGTCGCTTGCTGCCAAGTGGCACGTGTGCGCGACGTTGGATTCCTTCGACGTTACAGACGGCGAGACACCCATGGCGGCGGGTGGAGGGCAAGTGGTGTTTCCGGTGACCCCCAGCCACGGCGGAGCAGCAGAAACGGACAGCGATGAAGGCTGCGACGAAGAAGATGATCTGGACAACACCAAGTTGATCCCGGCCTACGCTTACAGCACCATCTCCTTCCAAAAGAGACAGGCCTTAGGTAACCCTAAATTCCTAATCCTAATTACTTCTTTCTCAACTAAATTCTCATCTTTAGCTGCAATAGGTTTCGATTGGTCTTTGGAGCTTAAAAAATCATCATTTTTGATCTATGAGATATAAGTCTGGTCTTTTTTTTTTATTCTTAAATTTAAAAAATGACATATTTGGTCCATTAAAATTAGATTTGAGTTTGGTTCAGATTAACTAGGGATGGACGAGGCGGGACGGGCAGGGGACAGGGATGCCCTGTTTAGGTGACGGAAAAAGCTTTTCCCATCCCCTGTCCTACGATAAATTTAAACAGGAATTTTTCATCTCGTCTAGACAGGTCCTCGAGGAGAAAATGAACCTCCCTAATTCTAATTGATCATAAGGTGACTTTCAATAAATGTGAAATTGAGTCGACCATTAATTGCCCTATCGAAATGATTACGAGGCAAAAAGAGAATGAATAATAAGTAAATTTAACTGGAGAACAGGGACGAAAGTTAAAAATGTAGCAAATAGTTTTGAAAAATGATAGAGGGGTTGAGGTTTGAAATTGATGATGTCATGCAGTGACGTATTTCGAGAACAACAGAGCGGGGATAACGATATACGGGTTTACGCTGGACAGGAGTACGCTCCACACCATCTTTGGAATAGAGTTATCCTTGGTTCTTTGGTTGCTTGGTAAAACCATCGGTTTTTCTTAGACATTAATTACATCATATTAATATATTATATTTTCCCATTATTGTAATTATTCATTTCCATCCCTTGTATTGTAATTTGCATTGTATTCTATTATTGGTCCCCTCCTCGGTTTTTATTTTTTATTTTTTACTTTTACCCTTTTGTGTATTTTTTTTTGTTAAGTTTGCTCCATGTTTCTGTTAATATTATAAAATTTACTGTCTTTTTTTCTCTTTTTCTTTTCTTTCCGTTTTGCAGTTTCCATTTTTCCTCAGTGTGTTTGGATAATGTTTTCTTTTTAATTATTATTTGTTTTATTATTATTATTACTTGTTTTATTTATAAAGTGGGATAAAACAAGAGAGAAAATGAGGAGATATTTTCAAGAAGGAAAGAAGGAAACAAAGTTATAAGAGAGAGAAATGTTGAGGAGAAAAAAGTTATATAATTTAAAAAACAAGAAAAGTTTGAAAGAAGATATGTTAGAGTAGAGAAAGATAATTTATTTATGCAAAGTGAAAGTTAAGTCATCAAGAGATAAAAAAAAAAGTATAATATAAATTTATAGAGAGATATTTAAAAAACAAAAAGAGAAAGAAGTTAGAGAACGGGAAAATATTCTATATAGAGAAAAAAATATTAGAGAATAGTTAGAGATAAATGAAAAATCTTAAGAGAGAGAACCAAATAAAGTAGGAAGAAAAAGTGAGAATTTGAAGAAAAAAAACCTATTCTAAATAACTAGTTTTGAGGAAAAAAAAAATGATTGTTTTGTTTTTATTGAAAAAAAATATTAACACCTTCTATACATTCTATCTTTTCACGCGCATACAACACCTCTTTCCATTATAAGAAATAAGATTTTTACCCAGAAATCGTACAGAGCAACTTTGTCCGACGTAATATTTACATTGAAAAAAGTCCGTCGAGGAATGATACTCCTGACGGGTTTTCAAAAACCGTCGAGAAAAAGACATTTGTCTCGATGGTTCACAAACCGTTGGAAGAAATCTCTTAGCCCGACGGTTCGAAAAAATCGGGCCAAGGGAGTTTTGCCTGATTTTTTCGTTACCATCAGGAATAACCCTTTTTCTCGATGGTTTGAAAAGGAGGAAAAGAACCCTTGCGAAAGTACAAAATGTTCCTAACATATCTCTTTAATATATTTACTTAAATTAGGCAAATCTATTTTGTTTTTTTTTTAATAATTAAAAGGTAAATTTGTTTAGTTTGACGACTTAGTTTACAAATTAAGAATTATTTTAGATAACCCATCTTATAGCTAAAATCTTGTATATAGATGACATGAACATATATATATATTTTAGGATCACAAAATGATTTTTAAAACTATGTTTAAGTTGATAATTACATTAATACGGCTTAATTTTATGCTCATTTTCCTAAAAAGGTTTCCTTCCCTCCGGAAAACGTTGTCCCAACTCCCAATTATAAATATGGAAGTAATATTCTAACTATACAATTAAGTCAAACACTAAATTAAATATATATAGAAACCCTAATGCTGTAATAATTATAAGTAGAAAAATAGGTGCCAATTTTTGGCCTAAGAAAAAAGATACCATCTTATTTCTTTCAAATGTCTTTCTTAAGCCTAGACTTTTTGGGGGTCATATGCAAAATCTCGCAAAACTTCATTCTACATGGTTTGAACCCTCCTACAATTGTTAAAGTAAAAAAAAAAATGAAAATAGAGGGAAGTGTATTTATGAAATATTAAAGAAAAATACTTTATTACCGACATGAACATAATTTAATTGGTCAAAATATTACTTACTTTCCTATAAATTCAAATTTACCACGTAAAAAAATACCACAAAAGTCTTATTATGGTTATTAAAAGGCAATGGTAAGAAATCACAATATATACTCAAGAAAAATAAAACCAAACTTATATAATTAAGTTACAATCTAACATAAAATTTAAAAAATTGTTGTATATATTTGCATGACCTAATATAATACTTCATAATAAAAAAAAATCCAACGCAATCCTAGATATTACTTCAAAAAATATTTTCGCACAGACATGCCATATATACAACAAAATCTCAATTTATCTCAAAATTGATTATAAGCAAACAATTCCCATTCAAAATCCCAAAAACCCTAATTCCCCTCCTCCTCCTATATCTTCACAACAAACCCTTTTTTCTCTCCATCCATTTATTTTTCTGTTTGTTTCTCGGGAAAATATGCTTCCACCTCCCAAGAAAATTTGGAACCGTTTGGCCTCCAAAGTGATATCGAAGCTGAGCCGTTTTACGAGGCCCGAGGCCATAACCAGAACCACGCGCCGCCTTCTGGGCCGCCTCGGCACCGCCGACCCCGCCGGAGACCACCGCGGGCTCTGCCGCTGCAGCTGCCACCGGCTGCAGGTGTACCGGAGCTTTTTGAATAATGGGTTGCAAGTTGAGGGGGAAGAAGATCGAGGGGGTGAAAATGGGGAGTTTGTTGAAGATGATCTTGCTGTGGATGAAAGGGCTGAGGAGTTTATTGCTAAGTTCCATGAAAGTTTGAAGCTTGAAAGATTGCAACATTTTTGAAGGGACGGAGATTTGAATCTCTAATATTAAGGATGTTATGTAATGTCTTGACTCATTGTGCTTATGTCGGTCTTTTTTCCTTTTCGAGTTGTGTATTGAGGGATGGAGATTTGAATCACTGACATTTAGGGAGAGAGGTAAGTAATGTTTCGACTGGTTGTGCTTATATAAGTTTTTTTTTTCAATGCAGGATGGAGATTTGAATCTCTGGTATTTAGGGACGTCGTAAGTGATATTTTGACTCGTTGGGCTCATATCAATTTTTTTTTTCTTTTTTGAGTTTCACGAGGGATGGAGATTTGGATCTCCGACATTTAGAGAGGTAAGTAATGTCTTGATCGATTGTGGTCCTCGACTGTTTTTTCTTTTTCAATCTGGTGGGTCATGAGATCTGGTGTCTCTCTCTTAATATTTCTTAGAGAGTGTTTTTGGCCATTTTTCATTTCTCCTTTCTACAAAAAGCATATATTTGTATGCAAATGTAAGCCATATGATTAATAAAGTTTCTAAAGGGAAATTTTTGTGGTTTGTTAGTTTGCCAAGTTAGTGATATATATGCTATGCATTCTTTCTTTTTCATTTTAACAAATCCATTTCTTACCAAGAATTTTTTTTACGATACTTATTGAAGTCAAAATCTCTTCTGTAAGACGAAAAGTGTGTCGTTTTGGAATAACTTTTAATTCTTTGTGAAATGATATTTTTTTAGCTCATCAAAAGATATATGTAATTAGGCATGAAATTTTGCTTGAAATTTTGGTTTTAGAAATTAATAATTTGATGGATGAGTACACACATTTTACTAAAGTTTATCAAATCTTCAATAACATCAAATAAAACCAAAAATTACAGTAGGCATATATAAATGAGATACAATCTCTAATCTCAAAAGGGTATTCAGAGAAAGATGGATAGATAATTTTGGACAATATGTTTTGCCATAATGGAATTAGCTTTTTGTGTGGGATGAAAGGCATCCCAAAACACATACTTATTGGCATCAGAACATGTAAATGGGTTAATCTTGGAGCACAAGAAACCCATCTCAAACCTGCCTGTTCCACAACATGCCCTTGCTGAATTGCTAAACCCTGTTACCAACCAAAAAAAACAAAAAAAAAGAGTGAGACTCGATCGAGATTCAAATTTATAACTTTAAAAGAGGTAAAATTACTAAACTACTAAACTATGTTCAAGCATAACTCTAATTCCGAGATTAGTCCAACATAGATCAATAGTTAAAGACATCTTTTTTTGAAAAGGAAAAACTATTCTCAATGAATAGTTAAACGTCCGATCTGCTCTTCTTGATATGATGTTTTAAAAACCAACAAATTTAGAGGAAGAATCCGAGAGAGAATTGAAGCATAAACTCACCAAACTTACTAGGATGATCAATCATATCTGAAAGAATGTCAAAAGGATTGGAAAACACAATTTGAATCCCTCTCAATTCCTTCTCCATCTTCTCCACCAACTCCATCAACTTCCCATTGAAATCCCTCGCAACTCTGTTGTATTTCTCCACACATCCACCTCCAAACACCACTCTCGAGCTCCTCTCCAATGGCAGGCACCCCATCGGCGGCAGCCCCCCGATGGACATCTTTCGGGCGCCAAGCCCGTGCAGCTCCCTCACGAACATCCCCGCCGCCCCGGCCAGGAAATTCTCGTACTCTTCCACCGAAAACTGCACCGACCAGCGCGGGAGGAGGAAGTAGTTTTCGAGGAAGTCGTTGGTTCCTAAACTGATGAGATGCAACGATTGAGCTATGGTTTGGTTGCCTTTTGAAGGGCCGAGGTGGTCTCTCAGTTTGTTTTGGTATTCTTTGTAGTATTGTAGCTCCTTCCATAGAGGGATCACTGACTGCCAACAAGGTTTGAAATTTTTTTTTTGGGTCATTTTGGTAATTTTAGACAAAGATATCACGACCCGTATCTAATAATAAGGCGATAATCATTTCACTTTTTGTTTTATGTTTTTCAAAATTATGCTTGATCTTTCAATTTTTTTTTATATGTTTTTGGTATAAACACGTTTAATTTCAAAAAATAAAAACAAGTTTAAAAGGTTATATTTTTTTGTTTGAGTTTTCAAAATTTGACTTAGATTTTAAAATCGTTTTTAAAAAGTAGATAACAAACCTAAAGAAACACATCAAATCCAAGTAGTGCTTTTAAGTTTAATTCTTAAAAACAATAAAATAAAATAAAATAAAATGGCTATCAAAATCCAAGGAGTGCTTTTAAGTTTAATTCTTAAAAACAATAAAATAAAATAAAATAAAATGGCTATCAAAAGTACTTTGAACTTTTTCAATTTTATGTCTAAGATATCAGTGATTTGATGTCAACTTATTTAATACCAACGTAACATGACACAATTAAATTGTGTATTATTTAAGGATTATGTGCAATCCTGGATTTACCAACCTGTATCATCGACTAAAAGGTCGTTAGAACCTCCCACCCACATATTGTTCTAAAAAAGTTGTGTCGGCCTAATTTATGGTGTGATTCTAGCATTAAAAGGACTTATTAAAAAAATTTTAAAACAAAGACCATTGACAACAATAATCACACCCACGAAAGTTTAGAGATTTATTAAAAAAAATTTAAGGTATAAAGAACTCAATAGACACAGTTATGAGTGATTTTTTTAAGTATCAAAACTAAATAGGCACAATTGTACAAATTTTCGAATCGACAACATGAGCATAGCGAGTATTTTAGAACTTACAAAAATATCAGAAGTGGCATTATCATAGCCTGTTCCAGCAGAGGCAAAGCAAACTCCAGTAGCAAAATGAGTGATATTATAAGTAGGATCCAAATATGCTGGAATGGTCCTTTTGATCCCAAAAGCTTCTGAGATGAAGTCGGTAACGATTCTGCCATTAGAGAATCTTCCCGTGGGTCTCCGACCATCGAAATCTTGACCGTAGGGTGGAAAATTGCTCCTTAGAACTGTAGAAATGTGGTTGTTGTTTCCTGAATCTACTGAGGAATCTCCAAATACTATGATGGCTGAAACTTTTCTGCCATGAACAACTTCTTCATTGTTGTTGAGTATTTGTAGGAGAAAGAAAGGTAGAAGAAAAATGGAGGAAGAGGAGAAGGCTGTCTTTGGCATTGTTCTTGAAAAGTTTTTTTTAGGTGATTTTTTGAGAAGTTTTATGGATGGTTTGAAAGAGGGGGAGGGAGAGGATTGATATAGACGAAGGGTTCATGTCGGTGTTATAACTTTTGTCCATTTTAGTTCTTGGTGCCTTTCGAAACATCGATTTTGGTCCCTAAATTAATATGTTTCGGTCATTTGGTCATTAATTATATATACTTTTGAAAGACCTACTTTTGATCTATGTAATTATTTCAACTCAACTTAGGCAAGTTGACCTATATATTTTTAAAATGTTCATTTTAGTTCTTATAGTTTTAAAATGTATATGTTCGGTTTATAGTTTAAAAAATGTCAATTTTGACTGTTTTAGTCCACTTGTTGTTTCTTTTTGCTTTTTCTATTATTTAAAAAAGATTCACAATTTCAACGAAATAATGCACTTGATAAATCTTTAAAATTTTTTTATGATTCGTATAATACTTTTATTCTAATTTAGAAAATAGTAACAAAAAAAATTAAAGTAGACATCGGTCAAAGTACACGAACCAAAATAAACATTAAAAAAAAACATAGAAAACGAAGTAAGAAAGAAATTTAAAAATATAGAGATGAAAACGAACCTCTTCTCTAAAAATGTGAACTTTTTGAGAAAATATATAACCAAAATATATATAGAAATGAAAAGTAAAATAAGGTTTAACCTATGAAAGACAATGAAATTTGTTGAGACTTAGGAAAAGATGTTAAATTTACATCCACCTGCTGTATTTTTATATGTTCATAGGTTCAATATTTACAAAATATCAAAAATATTATAAAAAAAAAAGCTAAAATGCACGTCCCTTCATTTAAATACTTGTTATGAATTTTTAAATTTTATAATATTTTAATTAATACGTGGATGGAATTGCGATATTTATGTGATTTACCTGTTTTTCTTGAGCTTGCGAAATAATATGTGCTGTTTTAACAAACCTAATAAATAAAAATGCCCTTTTTTTTCTGTCTTTCGGCAACGTTGCTTCACGCGCGGAAAGTACGCGTTGGATTTATTATACGCTTTCACGTTTTTTACGGAATGTACTCAGCCCTACGCTAGCTGAGGCTTCTTTCTCACGCGCCCCGAGGCTACGTGTGACTCTATCCCTAATTTCAACCCATAACGGTTCGTTTATTCGTAAGCGTTTTATTTTCTCAAATTTTGGAGTCTACGATTGGTACAAAGTTTGAATTCTTATGAAGGTTCATTTGTGCATAATTTAGTAGATAAAATACTAATTATCTTTTTCGGTTAATATTGAATGTCTCTCGTTCTCCACTCTCGTATTTGTTGAAGTTAATGATACGTAAAAGAAAAGAAGAAGAGGAAGTAATGAAGTTTAGAAGTTTGTGCTCATGCAATTTGTGTTTAATTGGTGGGATGATGTTTGGGATCTATGAAAAGTTAGTACAACGCAATGAAAACAATCCAGTCTCTTATGATCACATTTGGAAGTGAGAAAAAATCGAGCAACAAGCGAAGAAAACCCTTTACTCGCTTAATAATAATAATTAAGTTCGCTTCATAACATCATTATATGAAGGACAAGCCAAAATTTGTTGAAAAAGTTTAGAACCCTATTTCGTCCCAACAACAAGAAAAATGTTAGTTGGTATCAAAACTGCAGTTTGTCCCGACAAACTTGTAGAGAACAATAATCACATTAGAAAAAGTGGTACCTTTCGAAAGAGTCAGTACATCAAAGACGTCTTTATTTGAGGATGTTGTGTGTTGTCTACCTTTACAATTGATTAAATATATTAATATATTATTTGGTCCCTATAGTATACAATATTTTTCAATTTTATTCTATATGTTTTTAAAGTTTAACTTGTGTCTATCCATTTAAAATTTTTCAATCAAAAGTGTCTACTCAATAACACACTTGAAATTTTGTAACATAAGTGTGATGTAACATTTTTAAAAATAATAGTATATTTTATATCATTTGAACATGCTTTGAATATTAGATTATGTATAACTGCCACATGTATTTCTATTTTAAAAATCCAACTTGTTTTAACATAATTAAAAAAATTCACCAAATAAGATATTATCGCACAACACACTTCAAAAATGTCATCACTAATTTACATTGAATTTGAAAATATATATGTTGTGTAAGGTCTTCGAGGATTGCACAATGACAAAGATTTTGAGTCTTGTAGTATCATCTAAGATCCACCGTGCATAAGTCACAAGACATCTTGGGAAATCCAGAAAAAAAAATGTTGCGTAAAATATTAATACTAATTAACAAAGATTAATATAATGACGTGTAAGTAGACAAACAAAATCATTTTTTTAATTCATTTAAGTTCCTTCAATTATTGTATGTACAGACACAAGATATATTTAACCAACCGAAAGGGACGGTGAAAATAATGGGGTTTTCCCATATCTTCCATCCTTTAGGGATTAATTAACAAAACCACACAACAAGAGAAACAAGAAAGCAAGAGATGAGATAATTATAAGTGCAAGAGGAAGGGGAATCACTTTCTCAAGCAAGGGAAAGTGATGCAACAATGTGAAAGAATTGGAGTTTCTCAAATAGGTCTTTGGCATGGCATGTGGCTCTATGTTCAACTCGAGTAAAGAGCTTCTTGCTAAGGCGATCCCCGATATGAGCATCGACAAGGGCGCTCGAAACACTCCGACATGTGTTGGCCATAGCTCGACCGACTTCAGTTGCATCATCGGGCTGGTTAACCACCAATGGGCTGCCTCCTTTGAAAACCTCAAGCATGTTTATGGAAAATGAACTATTTGCTTCGATCACTTCCTTAAAATCTTGTAAGCTTGGTGCATATAGTGGAATGTTGAAACTATCCCGTTTCTCACTAGTTATCCATCCCTACATTACCACAAAAATATAACCAAACAAGCTCTCATTATTATATATTTTAGAATTTAATGCTTTTCTTTTACCTTAATATTTTCAAATGTTTTGTTTTTCCTATAAACTCTCCATAAAAACTCTAATCTTAATTCTTACCCTTAAATTTTCATATGACATTCATTGAAAAATGGAGAAATTTTATAATATATATATACTTATATACCTCTTGGACAAGATCTTCCCAAGCATCCTCAAAGTGGGTCCCAAAGAGGATTCCGGCCCCACCTTGGTCGGTGGGGTCCACAGAGGTTCTTCCCAAGCAAGCAACAAACATGGCCCCACCCTTCTTCAGCTCCTCCGATCTTGACTGGAGGAATCCGGCCAGGTCCGCCTGAAACTGCCGTCTGTAGGCGGCGGCCGCCGCCTTATTTCCCCGGTGAATGAAAACCTTTCCTTTGTTGTACGCCACCGATCCGCCGTCCACCACACTTTCCGGCACCTGAGAGAGCCAATGCAAGGAGAAAACAGAGTGAAAAACATTGATGGATCTTGCCGGAAAAAGTCGGTGGTAGAACGACCCAGGTACGCCAGCGGCGAAGTAGGACCGGCGGTTCCCAGCAGCCGGATGGAGGAGCTGGAAAAGGGTGTTGAAGTCATTACTGGGGAGGTCGGAAAAGATGGCAGAAAACTCCGGCAGTCGATTACCCAAAGCCTTGTAGCGATTGGTTATGTGGTCGACGATGAAATCTACGGTGGTGATGGTGTTCCTCCCGGAGGAGCAGCCGAGGTCCGCCACTGTAAATGGCAGCTCCGGCGAGTTCAGATGGACGATGTCGAGGGTTTCTTTGAGAAGGTGAAGCATTGCTCTTGCATGACGGGCCTATAAAATTTTGCAAAAAAAGAAAAAAAAAACCTAATTTAATTAATTGGGTTGAAAATTTTTAAAAATAATTTGTTAAATAGTTTGAGCACTATCCATCTTTATAGAACATGAGATTATAGTTTTAATTTTGGTCCCTCTCGTTTTAAAGATTCAATATTTACCCACTCGAAAACTCACAAATTTTGAATTATCAACGAGCTGGTGTCACATAAATAGAAAACATATCGACATTATTATTATTATTTTAGTAAAAAACATATCATGTATTTAATTGTATAAGGGTGGTCAAGGACAACTATTTATGATATTTAACCATAAATACTAAGTTAAAATTTTTAAAACTATATTTTAGTTAATTCTTTTTAAACTACAAAGAGAAATTGAAATTAAGTCCAAATTATTTGAACCAAACTTATAATTCAACTTAAATATTTTATCTATAGACACTGAAATCTCGATCAAATAAGAATTAATCAAATGTGGCCAGAGATTAATAATGAGTCCGATAGATGACTTTTTGAAAAGGCAAAAGGAGGTATAATCAATTAAAAGTACTTTTTAAAATTTTTTAAAGATAACTAATAGTGTTTTTTTTCCTGAAATTTTAGAAACATTAACAAATGCTTATCATCCTTTGAATAATGAAATACATGAGTTAGAAATATTTGACAGAAAAGAGAATGTGTAATCTAATTTATTGTGTTGATTAACATTTTAAGTATAACAATTAATAATATACTTTCCATTTCATATATATATATTATAAGCTCAACAGGTCAATGCCTAATTTTATGAAGATATTATATATGACTTGCATTCTCAATAGTTATCAAGAAGAAATTAGCTAGATAAAGAATGTTAGAGGATCAAAGTCATAAATGTCGGACAACAAAAAAAAACGGAGTAATATCACTTTTCCTTTAAACGGTTTAATGAAAAAGAATCAAATGACGATCTAAAGACTCATTAAACTTTAGAAACAAGACCTTTACACTTTATAAGGAAGGAGACCAAAACTATATTATAACCCGAAAATTTCTCGAACCTGGCCTTGGGAGTTGTTGGCATAGCTCCCTTCTCCCTTGCCTCCTTTCATAGAAAACACATTCTCAATCTTGGTGTGTTGAGAAGAAACAAGATTGTCTTCCTTAGCAGCCATTGTTGAAGATTAGAGTTTGTGTTTGTGTAGTTTATATATTGGTCTGTGGGATGGAAAAGAGTGGCCTACAATACAAGAGTTGAAATAAGTTATAAAATGAAACCAAAAAAAGAAGAAAAAGTAAGTTGTAAAAATTAAATTGTGCTAATTTTGGTTTTGGGGAGTTTTGATATTGTATTTCTATATATGAGCCATTAATGAGAAACTACCCATAACTTAGTTTATCAAAAGAAGCTAAAATATGTCAACTTTTTGTTGCTTATTCCATTATTGGTTTTAAATATAAGATAACAATAAGTCTACTTTTAGTATAATAAATATGATTATATAAACCTTTGACCTCAAAATAAGAAAGCGGTATATTTACTGTTGAACTAGTCATAATAACTGTATAGATTAATTAGTAATTGTTAAGTTTTGAACGTAGTTCTACTCATGTATTTGAATTGAAATAGTCTAAAAAAATAACTGATGTGATGAGCGAAGATTTGAGTATGTTGAAAAGGGTGAAACTTATTGTTGTGAATGAGATCAAAGTCTCAGTTGACTAAATAAGAGGAAGATCATGACCGATATATAAGTAAGTGACAACATCGTTGTTGTTATGAGATCTTTTGGGTGAAACTGTTTATTAGAGTTGTGAAAATTATGTCCAAAGCAGACCAATATCATATCATACCATTTTGAAATGGTGAGATGGTAGTCATGGTTTACATCATGTTGAGTTACTCCTCTCATTGTCAATTGGTTTTGAGAATGAACCCAATGAATATTGATATCGAGCATCCGGTCCAAAAATGAGATCCGGTCAAGATTGATGAGCCAAAAGAGCCACGATCTTGAGGGGGCATGTTAAGGATCCCACATTGATAAAATAAGGGACCTTAATTACATAGGTTTATAATAAACATGGACTACTCCTCTCATTGCCAATTGGTTTTGAGATAGAACTCCATGAATATCGATAAATCTGGCATGGGCTACAAGAGCTCCCCGTAGTTTACAGATAAATTGATAAGTTGCGTCGAGGTAGAAGCACAAAAGGGAGGAAGAAGTCTAGTGGTGAATAAACATATCAAATAAAAGCGATGATTAAGCCCTTCTCCAACCTGGGAAAAGCACCGAACTTAGCGGTCCTCCACGTCTTAGCAGCTCCATAACCTTGAGCGGACTGACGAGGCTCGAATCCATTGTCTCTATGGATCGAGAAGAAAGTGGGCTCGACAAACGTGACCAGGTTGCTCACGAGATAATTAAAAAAAAAAAAGACATCTTCCTTGGCACAAGCGAAAGCCCGAGCAATGCCGCGTGTTTGATTAAGAAGTAAAAGAGAGTTGAAGATATTAATTATGTTTAAATTGTAGCAATCAATAGTTTTAGTCTAATTTTAATTTGTAACTTTTCTTTTTATATTACAATCACAAAATAACTTGTTATATATTTGATATTTTTTTTAATCTCACATTTGAAAAGTTTAATCAAAGTATTTAAGATGGTAATGAAACTTTTAGAAGGAGAATAAATTGATCCAATTAGAGTTAAACCATGAAACATAATATATTAAACCTCTTGCAATTTTTACTTTGTAAAAATCTTTCAAAACCTACAAATTCAAATAAAATCCCAACTTTATTATTATTTTTCTTTGATGCCCCCATAAATTTTGCACCATACCTATCTTTGTAATCCACCCAAGTGAAAATATTTTTATAACAATTATTATTATTTTTTAGTACTTTTTAAAAATTCTTAAAACATAACAAAAAGGTAAGATTTGCAAACAAAATACAACATTTGTCCAAATGTAAATCCAATTTTATTGAAATTGAAAATTTAAGGTAAAATTCATTCACCTATTATGAAATTTTATTTATTTATTTATTTTTATTAATTTTATGAAAGTAGAGATAGCTTGGGTGGGAGAGCGTTATACTGAAAATTTGAAGTCACGTGCTCGATCTACGTTCACTGCATTAAGAATCATGTTTTATATTTAATATTGCAATGGTTGTAAAGTTATAAATTTGGTCTCTCTAATTTATGTTTAGTTTAAATTTACAAACTACCAGAAAAAGATTAAAAAACATAAAATATAGAGACTGAAATAATATTTAAACCTAGACAAAGTAGAGATGAAGTTTGTTGAGAGTTTTTAATTTGAGAAAGAAAAAAGCTTAGTATATAAAAATTAATATTATTTCCATTTCATGGTATTGGTATTATATTTCAGTCAACATTAGTTTAATCAATGTTTTCATATGTCGATGACTTATATCAAAGGCAAATTTGCATTTTCACAGTATTGCAAAACATCGATAAAAATATCAAAATATATAAAAAAAAATCACTAATATGAATAAAATATATTATTAATTTTTAACCTATATAAAATTCTGAAATACTTATTTGTCAATTTAAATACTTATTATATACATATATTTGTTTTATTTTTATAACATTAATTTTTAGAAGTAAGATGGACATGATGTCTATATCTATCTTTATCGACATTTTTTAAAATATTTGTGGCAAAACGAGCATAACTCAATAGTCAAGGTTTTAAAAGTTGATGTCGATGGAAATGTTGAGGTCTCAATTTCATGGAAATATGTCTATGTCGATGGATATTTCTGTAAAAGTTAGAAAAATTAAAAAATCTTAAAAAAATATTTAAATTAACAAATAAACATTTTTCCATTTCTAAATTAGTTAAAAATAATTAATATTAATATTATATATATATATGTATTTGTGACATTTTATTGATATTTTTCATATTTTGTCGATTTTCTTGTACTGCGATGGAAATGTCAATGTCGAACTCATGAAAATATGAATATGTCGATGAAAATATCGACGTATCGATGGATATTTAGAATCATGCCTACAACAACGTACACTATTTTCCCATCAAAACATGTCTGTGTTTAAAATTTTGTCAATCAAAACATGTCTACTTAATAATGCCCTTAAAATTGTGTAGCATAATGGTGACATAACATTTTCAAAAATAGTATTTTATATGGTTTGAACATGTTAATTTGAATATTAGATTAATATCCTATACCATGCATGTCTTTCTTATTTAAAAAATTGAACTTGTTATATCATAATTAAAAAAATATAATCCACCTGCTATTATCACATAACACACTTCAAATGTCATTACTACTTTCCATTGGATTTGAAAATATATGTTATCTAAGCTGTTAATATAAAAGATGTTACGGGTAAGTACAAAAATAAAAACCCTTTATTCATTTTAAGGTCCTTCTCCAAAGTTTTATACGTATATGTATAGACACAAAGATATTATTTAACCACAAAAAGGGGAGGTGAAAATAAGAGGGTTTCCCATATTTACCTTCCTTTAGGGATTAATTAACGAAAATCACACAACATAAGAGATAGAAGAGAAGGAAGAAAGCAAGAAAGGAGAAAATTATAAAGTTACAAGAAGAAAGGAAATCACTTTCTCAAGCAAAGGAGAGTGATGCAACAATGTGAAAGAATTGAGCGCTCAAGACACTTCGACATGTGTTGGTCATAGCTCGATCAACTTCAGTTGCATCATCAGGCTGGTTTACCACCAATAGGCTGCCTCCTTTGAAAACCTCAAGCATGTTTATGGAGAGTGAATTATTTCCTTCAATCACTTCTTTGAAATCTTGTAAGTTGGGTGAATATACTGGGAGGTTGAAACTATGCTCTTTTTTCACTCGTTATCAGCTCCTACGTTACCTTAAACATATATATATATATGAATACAGGCCCTTGTTATATATACTTCAAAAGATTTATCGCTTTCCTCTGAACTCTCCTAGAAGAAAATCTAATCTTGATTCTTACCCTAAAAACTTTCACATGCATTTAATTAAAAATGGTGAAATTTCATAATATATATAATTACATACCTCTCTTGGACAAGATCTTCCCAAGCATCCTGAAAGTGGGTCCCAAAGAGGATCCCCGGCCCAGCCTTCTTCAGCTCCTTCGATCTTGACTGGAGGAATCCGGCCAGGTCCGCCTGAAACTGCCTTTTGTAGGCGGCGGCCGCCGCCTTATTTCCCCGGTGAATGAAAACCTTTCCTTTGTTGTACGCCACCGATCCGCAGTCCACCACACTTTCCGGCACCTGAGGGAGCCAACAAGGAGAAAACAGAGTGAAAGACATTGATGGATCTCGCCGGAAAAAGTCGATGGTAGAATGACCCAGGTACGCCGACTGCGAAGTAGGGCCGGCGATTGCCAGTGGCTGAAGAGAGGAGCCAGAAAAGGGTGTTGAAGTCATTGCTAG